GGGCGGTCGGGGCGGCCGTGGCAATGCAGCGCACAGCTGGGGAGGCGTCAGTCGGGGATGCCCGGAGAGGTGGCTGTGCTGTGTCGATGCAGTCGTCTCGGAGCAGAGCCGTGTTGTCGCAGGGGAGAGTTACCCTGAATGCTGGCACTGCGTATGAACACTGTAGTCAGACTGTGCTGTCTGACTGTTGCAGCACTGTTGGGGTGTGGAAACCCCATCTGGTGGCACTAGGAGATACAGCCAGCTCATGTGACCTCTTTGTGGTACAGGGACACAGTACAGGAGACTGCAGCCTCCACGGAGGTGCAGGGGTTGAAATGGCTCTTGTGCACAGAAGTGACAAAATCTGCAGCTTCTCCGTCTCGTCGGAGGCCTCGTTCTCTGAGGATCTGCGTCCGCTGGGATGAGACAGTTAATTGTCGATGCTTACGAGTGTATCGATAAACTCCGAAGTTTATTCCCAAGCTTTGAAAAGTGATGAAGGGGGTGATTTTTGCCAGAGCCTCAGCAGATTGCAACGGAAGGGAAGCTGGGGAAGGAGGGAGGAGCAAAGCAGAGACCACGCGAGTCACGGTCCACACAGACTGACTCGCACATGGTCTGAGGTCTGCGTTTTGCTCTCTTGCGTTTGAAAATAATGCCTCTACTCCTATCATCTCCTTTACTTTTCCATTTCAGGTGAAGTGATGCTCTTCATGTGTCACTAACAGTGTTCCTTGGAGTACAAAACTAATACCTAATTGGCGGCTGCCTCCGTAAAGGGCTGTTTACAGCTAAGTAATATTAGTGTCAATGACAACTGTAACCTGTTCATTTGTTTCCCACTCTTCCCAGGAGTACTGCGAACAAGATGGCTGCAACTGGACTGTACAAAATGGGTGACGGAAGCAGCTATGCAACTAACTGCTTCCCTGCCAGGAACATTTTGCGCACAAACAAAGAAGGTGATGTTTCTTTGAGTGCTGCTCGTGAAGTCGCCCTGCAGAGTAATGTCGTGTCAGGCTCCGTAGGGCTCCGGTTGTCAAAGGCTTGGGACAGATCCACCACTTGTCCTGGTGTAATAGTGATACTCCAGTCTGTGCCTGGGATTTGGAGGCCCAGTAATAATAGAAAGAACGATGATAGACAATATAAAAAAAGCAGAATTTAAAACCGTGCCTTAGCATTTTTTAAAACTTCACTTGAAATGAAGACAGCAGGCTGTTTGGGGCACCTATCCAAATGTTGTCTCCAGCAGGCATCTCGGCACAATGACAGAAGGGAAGAGTGGTTATCCGTGCTTCAACCAGGCACATGGATAACACAGCGTGGTTCTCCCTCAGTTATTCTGCGCTAGAGCTTCTGTTTTGTCTCTGGGGCTTGAGAGTCAACATCTGTGAAATGCTTAGAAATGGCAGAAATGTCTTCTAATATTTGAGAAATGGTAGAAGGTTGGGAGAGAGCTACCAAGCTGGGCAGGAGGCTGGAGCACAGGACATGTCAGAAGAAGCTGAGGGAGCTGAGCTTGTTTTATCTGACCAGGAGGAGTCCGAGGAGGGATCTAATTGCAGCCTACCTGAAGGGCAGTTACAAAGGCAACAGAGCGAAACTCTTTTTAGTAGTGGCAGATGGTATAACTAGGGGCAAGGGCCACGAATTTCAGCTTAGGAGGTTGAGGTTGGACATTAGGATAAACTTCTTCCCTGGGAAGGAGTGCAGCTCTTGGCTGGGTTACCCCGGAGGTGGTGGAATTGCCATTCTTGTCTGCAAAAAAGCCACGGCTGACCTCATCTAATGTTGCTGATAGTCCAGCTTTGAGTGGGATTAGAGGCCTCCTGAAGGCTCTTCCAGCCCACTTCTCTACGTCTGCAAGCCTGTGGCTCTGTTTACGTTTATAAGGCAGCATGCTTCTCCCCTTCCATGGCTCTGGCTGCAGCTTTGATATTCCTATCTTAAATAATATGGTCACTGAATATTTTATATTCCAGTGTTTCTACATATAAGAGGATTTAAAAATGATGGATTTCACTGTCAGGCTGAAATCCCAGGCCGAATGCAGCTGCTTGGCGAATGGCTTGTTCGGAGGGTCACGCGCTTACCTTGCCATCTCTTTTGCCTTGGCCTGTCCTTGTGTCAGGGGCTGGGTGCTGGCTGCTGGCACGCAGAACTACCAGGAGGGCCCGGATCGAGCAGGGAATCCCTGGAGAGAAGCATCAGAAGAGGAGAAAGCCCCAAAGTTCGGCCTCTGCAGAAGAAGACAATATCCTAGATGAGCCATTTCTGGTGAGCGTAGATTCCCTGTTATTGTCTAAACCAAGTGACAACGCGTCCTGGCCTTGTGGGGGACCTTGTTGGTGGACAGACGCTGTAGCTGCCTCTCCTCCCCATCTCCATGCCATGCCATCTCCACATTCATGGGCGCTCCAGGCGCTCACCCTCTCCCCCTCACTGTGGTTCAAGGCACCAGGTGCCCCACACAGGTGGGGTGTCCTGCCGTGAAGGAGAGGACAGCTGAGATCTGGTTTGGGGGTTCAGGTCCTAGGACACGGCATACAGGATTGCTTACATAGGTGGTGCAGGGCTAAGCTTTTGCTTTTTCATTTTTCCAGATGAAGCATCACTGTTTGAAGAACCCTTCTGACTTGTGCTCTGTGAATATAAGCAACCAAAATCTGGTCTCTGTGAGTATCAGAGACTCAGGAAGTATTAGGGAACTACCTTAAATATTGAAAAATTTAGCACATGAGTGTCCAGACATCAGACAAAACACATATTAGAACCCAGGCATATTTCCTGCACAAGAAAGCTAACCAGCCAGCCATGAACAGGCCTGGATGATTTGTCCTATAAACCTTTGGATCATGTCTTTGTAACAGAATTAACTTGGTCTTCATCAGGTGTAGCCCTTTCCCCATTTACACTGACTCACAAAATCCTTTCCTCTGGGTTCATGGGTGGTGTTTACTTAAGCTGACAGGCCATGGTGGGAATTAAACGTCAGCTCAAGAAGTGACTTGTATTTGAGCTGGCGACTAACCTGCAGTGCAAAGAGAAAATGAGCTGAACTGCTGATAATTATTTTAGTGTCTTTTTAGGGTTCTCTTCCGGTGCTGCGAAAGACAGATGTGTTAAATCATAGAGTGGCAAGGTTTGTTGGGTCACAAGTGAGCATGAGATACACCCTAGGAGTCCTGCAAGGCATACAGGGGAGCGAGGTCAGCAGTGACAGCACAGACAGGGCTTCGATTTGGGGCTGAACTAAGCCAGGTCTTTTGAATGTCAGTCACTGAATTAACTCTGCGTTAGAGGCGTACTCACAGAGAGCTGTGCTCCATAGTCAGAAAAACAAAGGAAGACCTAATTATGAGAAATGCTGTGATTTAAGGATTGTGGAAAAAATAAGAAAGAAGAGATCCAGTTGCTTCAAACTAGTTTAGGGCTGGAGCTGACTGATTTTTTTCCTATACTTTTTTTAGGCTAAAGAAGATGATTTTGAGAAATTTGACTGTGTTGCTTTTATAAACGCTGCAGAAAACCTGTTGACATTAGGTAAGGGATTGCATTACCAGAAACAGATAATTGCTTTTAAACCCAGGAGCATGATATAAGGAGGTTTATGCTTGTCTACACTCAGGTCTAGAGCTTTGCAGAGTCTTAAGATACATGCACATATAGCACTTCTTTGCAGGACTGCTTCCTTTCTGTTACTGAGCTGAAATCTTTGCACTGATTCCCTTTATGGTAATGACAATTGTATGCCACTGTGTTCTTCTTTTCATTATTAGAAAACAAAGCTCTTTACAATGAAAATCCTCATTTAATATGTAGAAGCACAGAATAGTGAAATGACTTGTTCCAAATGCCCAGAAGGCTAATGGCAGAACTGGGAGCTGAATCCAAATAAATGTCATGGGCTCAGCTAATCTGAAGAGGAAAAAGGGAAATACTGTTATAGGTGGTAAAACATAAGTTAAATGTGCTGTCAGTGACTTCCAGCAATAATCCAATCTGGGGTGGAAACAAATGCATGAAAGTAAACGAGATGTCTAAGTAGGAGGCTACTGGTCATCATCTAATTGAGCCTGCACTTTCTTTCAAACACAGCAACTGATAATACTAGTCCCAGTCTTTCTTGTTGGTCTCGGTCTGTTCCAGACCTGGATAAGACATGGCTTGTTCTGTTACTGTGGTTCCTTACAGGAGCATTGTCTCTTCTACCCTTGCAGAGGCATTTCGGAAGTTTCCAGAACTGCGGGAACTGGAACTTTCCTTGAATGGACTAAGAAATCTGAAAATCACTGCTGGAGACTTCCTGCATTTGGAAGTAAGATGAGGGGGATCTGACACCTTATTTATCTCCTCCCTAGTGTCACGCTGAAGTGTAACACCTAACATGAATATGTGCTTCTGCAAGTGTGAGTTCTCTGAAACTGTGTGGTAATTATCTCTTCCTGCTCCCTTGTGAATCTGGGATGTGCCTTCCCTTGCGTCCCTCAAGGACCTTCATGGCTTGCTGCTTCTTGCAAAGCAAGCATCCTCACAGATCCCCATTGCTCAGCCCCTTGCCACATGACTCCTTGTTTCCTCCACCATTGGCCTCTCCCAACCCTTTGCCTCAGGATCTGCTTTCTAGGACCCTTTCCATTCAGTCCATCACAGAGTCCCCATACCAGATCTCATTGTCCTCCTCGTCTTCTGTCCTTCTTTCACTCCTAATAGATCCTAATCCTGACGTGCCAGGCAGTCTGTCATTCACTGGTGTAATTCCTTGCACTTGCTGGCTGCTCTCTCACTCACTGCTCTGTGGTCGTGTGCACATTCTTTTCACAGTCCTCTTTTCAGTGAGATCCCTCATGGGCACCTCTTACCATTAACGTCTTCCACCTCCTCTTGGCAGGATCTCACAGAGAGGTCTGCTGTGGCTGCCATCTCCTCCTCCTCCCATGAGAGCTCTTGAGGGCCCCATCACACACTCCTTCACAAGATGACGTTTTTGGAACATTTGTCCCTGTACACCTCCCCTTCCTCCTCCTCACAGTAAGATCCCTCACGTGGCTTTGTTGCTGCCCTCTTTTCCCCCTTGCGTCACTGCCCTCCTCTTGCGCAGCGAGAGCCTTTGCAGCTCCCTCTGTCTTCCTCTTCCCTGTAGATCCCTGTAGTCACAGCTTCCCATCACTGTGCATGGCTGCCATGTCCTTGCCTTCTTGTAAGAGGTCTCTTTTGGACCCTTTAATTGTCTTTCTTCTCTTTCCCCTCACAGTGAGATACCGTATTGATCCCCATTACCATCCTTCTCACAATGAGATCCCCAAAGGGGCTTCATTACTGCCCTCTGCCTTCTCCCTCTCGGTCCATGTCCTCCTCCTCACTGTGAGATCCCATGTGAATCCTCATCTCCCTTCTCTGCCAAGTTGCTGATTTTCCCTTTCTTTATTCAGTGCTGCATGGTTTCTGAGGTTCTGTGGCTGCACTCTTCCTCCTCCTCTGTAAAGAGCCCTTTACCCCCTCTCCCCAGCACTGTGCAGTCCCTGGGGAACTGTTCTCCTCTGAGATGCTGGTTAACCTCCTTTGGGTTACTGTCCTCCTCTTGGTGCTATGTGCAATCCTCACACATCATTGTAGACCTCCTGCTGCTCTGCATGATCCCTGGCAGGTCCCCATCCTCCTCCACACTGTGGTCTACCTCCATGTATTCCATCCTCCTCCTCTCCAAATGGGTGTCTGCAGCTCCCCTAAGTTATGGGCTGCCTCTAACACAGCAAAGGGCCAGTATGGTTAAAAAAAAATGCAATACAACAAAACCCCCTCGAAAAAACACTGGAATCAAAGTAGATCCTAAAAACAAGCATATGCAGCTGGAATGAAGGGCTGAAGTTGTCCTCCCCCTCCAGCCTCGGGTGGCTCTCTGCTACAAAAAGCTCAGTCTCTGACTCAGCAGTATTGGCCTTATTTAGGCTTGCTGTCTTCAGGGAGGTGTCCTTGTCCAAATTTCTCTCTCTCAATATTCACAGGGTTTTTGATTGCTGCTGAATATAAAGTTTTGTCTTAAAAGGCTTTTTTCTTCTTGTCTCATTCAAGGAATTGTTTGTGGTTTGGCCCTTGGCTCCTTGGTACTCTGACAGTGTGGCTCCCTGTGCTGCTGGGATCCTGGCCTTCCTCCTGCTTGCAGGCTTTGGGAGACCCCAAGCCCCATGAAACATGGGAGAGGTGTTTCCATATCCTATGACACAGAGGGTGGAAGGCCCACCCATTCCAGAGCTTAGCACTTTTGGTGACCTGCTCAAGCGTGGCTCAGCCAGTGAGCGTATGCCTAAGTTTTGGGGAGGCAGATTTCCAAAGCTCCTGAGGCCAGGGCTGATGTTGTCCATCCCTGTGTGCAGTCATGTGAGCAGGCCCATCACTGGCATCAACTATGAAAGGTGTGGATGGGGCCTATCGCTGCATATTCTCCATCTAAACTTCCCTTCCTATGATGCTCCCTTGGATTCCAGCACGGTCTAAAACCAGTGGCCTCCCATCTGCTGACAGTCTGGGAGAAGACAGTGCTGGGAGGCCTGACTGGAAATTCATGTTCATTTGATTTGGAAGTGCTCTGAGCTGCTCCCAGAGCAACGCAGCCTATTTTAACGGTCCAGCACAACTACTCCTATTCACGTGTCCTAGAAACTTCATCTTGTGAATCACCTCGCAGCAGGGTCTGTTCTCTTGCTTTCTCATGACTGTTGTCCCATGAGTCACGTGTGAGTGAGGGACCAGCCCAAAGCACTTCTGCCAAGGTGCAGAGTCCCACAGCTGTCAGTAAAGTCACTGCAAGTCAAACATATTCAGCATCACCCTAGGCTGGGTTGTAGCATAACCAAAAGTCTAGTCTAAGTGTTAATATGTACCTGGGAAAAGCCAGCGGAGACCAGTATATGGGCTTATTCTTTGCTCCATAGGCTTGTCTCTTCTGTTTCTCTCAGGGTCTGGACCTCTCATACAATAATTTATCCCCTGAGGATATTTGGACTTTGGGAGATTTGTCCCAACTCAAGGTCCTTCACTTGACGGCCAACGGGCTTCGGTCGCTGCCTCCTGACCTGGCAGGCTCGTGGGAGTAAGTGCGCACAGCAAGTGCTGCTTCGGTCTGGCAGGAGCATTTCCGGCACTCAGCCAGTGGGATACGTAGGGTGGGCAGGCAGTGTGGTGGAATAGTGGTCCTGGTAACGTAGTAGTTACGGCAAGGGTGGCCGGCCCAGACAGTAGGGCTCTTTTCTTGTGAGCTGAAGGGTCAAATAGCCTAATGGCTGATGCTAGGTGGCAGGGAAGTGTCATCCCAGCTCAGCTCATCCCAAATCCAGCACCACTATGCATGAAAGCTGCTGGTCTCAAAAGACCCTTTGCTCCAGCATAGCACCACATTGCCCGTGCTGGCAAGCAGAGCTGGAGATACCTGGCAGGTCTGTGTAAGGGTCTCAGGACGCAGCCTCCTTACTGAGCACGTGAAGGCCAAGGGCGTGTGAGGAGCCCCCTGGTCAGATCCTGTTCGGATGGGCACGTGCACCCAGGGTGGCTTCCTCCTGCCTGGTGCTGGGACTGACCTGATGCCCTGAGCTAGGACCGTGGTGACCCAGGGAACCTGCTGTCATCGGTGGCTAGAGAGGGACCTGTTTGGGGCACCCTGTTTGGTGGCCAAGCCACAGGAGTAGGATGCTATTTATTCACCATTAATCAGACCCTTCACAGACAGTGTAACCAGAATCACCACTTTGGACTGATTCAGTTCAGCTGTTTTTAGGTAGGATATCACATTTCTATTGAAAAAATGAAAAAAGCCCCAGCCCAGTCTCACAGTGGAGTGAGTGGATACATCTTCCCCATGTGACAGCAGATGATGTGTTTTTCACCTGCCCTTGCCTGAGGATATTATTAACGAGTCTCTTTGTATTCACAGCTCTGCTCATTTAAGGTTTCCGTCTCTAGAGGTCTTGTTGCTGGATGACAATCGCCTGTCAGACCCGTGTGTCTTTGTGAGCCTGTCTAATCTCTGCAGGTAAGGCAGCACCTGGCAGCAGATGGCTCTGGCTTTGTGGGCTGGCAGCTGCTTCTGTCAGCTGTTGCACAGAAGCAGGCGTAAAATGAATAACAAAATCTTTGTGATTCATTTGGATATTTCCCTGTTTAGTCTCTCTGGTATTGAAAAAATGACTGAGTGAAAGCAACAGCCTGCTGTAAAATACAGGCTGGCCAAAACCAGCAGGTGGCTCGGTAGTTCAGAACCGGCCCTGGGCGTTTGCTGGTCTCCAGGTGTGATTTGAGAAATGGCAGTTGCTTTCTCCATTTTCGTTTCTTTGCCCCAGATTTGTCCTTCATTTCAGTGCAGCAGCATTAGGAAAGACTGTGGCTCAGCGCTCTCTGTTTAACGGGAGCTTTAGTGATTCAGCCGGAGAGAAGAGTCACTAGAAAGGGAGGTGGTTCACGTGCCCCTTGGCTGGGCTGCGGTGGGTTTGGGTGCAGCGCAGAGACCTTCTCCCCTTTATTTTGTGCCTTCTCCCAGTGCTGTGAACTGGAGGTGGGAATTGGGTCTGAGAGAGGTCTGGGGGTCTCGACTGCAGAGTTTTGGGTTTCTGCTCTTCCCTAAGCTATCCTGTGACCTTGGTCAAGTCAATTGGTTATGTTATACTTCCATGGGAAGGTGGAACGTCGTTAGGGAATCCCAGTGGCACTGCAGCTCGTCAGAGCCCTGGGTGATTTAATGAACTGCCCTGATGTCTCCATGGCCATTACATTGTAATCAAGAGATGAGTGAGGTGATCCTTGGGCTGATCCGGGGAACCCCAGTCCCTGGCTGCAGGGGAATGCTGGGCTCTGCGCTGGCCTGGGCCCAGGGCTGAGATTTTATGTGTCAGGAGTGGAGAGGGGATGGGTGCAGCGGGAAGCAGGTGTTGCGGATGCCTTTGCACCGCTGCTGGGAAGCACAGCTGGGAGGCAACAGTGAGGAGGCAGCTCCAGGGACAGCTCCTGCTCAGCGGGCATCGGGGCGAGCAGATGCCACTGTGTGTGCACTGCTAGTAACCATGACATTTCTCGGGCATGTCCTTTTCTGACAGCCTGAGGGAACTGAATCTGGACAAGAATGAGATTTCAGCTGTCCCCTACCTGCATCAAGCAGAGAGCACACACTTCTTCCTCCACCCGGCGCTGGATGACAACAGCTTCAGAGCAGAGTGGTACAAGTCCCTGAGCAGCCTCAGGCAGGAGGCCCAGCCACCACAGCGCAAGGGCACAGACGGGCCAGCAGAGCTGGAGGCGAAGAAAGAGCAGCTCGAATATGTCGTGTTACAGAACACCAGGCATCCAGACCGGACAGGTGAGCAGCTGCTGCCTTCCAGGCCTCTTGCTGCCCTCACTGAAACTGTGGAGCATTTTCCATTCATTTCAGTGGGAGAGGGCTCAGTTATGCTAGGCTGGTTCTGAGGCCTTCCAGATCTGCCAGATGTTTACTAGCGAGCAAAACTACTTGGTAAAATTAGAGCAGTGAGGGAGGGATGCATGGGACCATTTTAGACATCTGAGCTGACCTATACTGTCTCTCTGTAATTACTGGGAGCGATAGGTACATCTAGGACATAAATCACCCTAAAATTGACGTTTCTTGCTCAGACAGAAGTGCCCCGTTCTCTTTCCTGGCCCTCTCCAGGGTGGTTTGCCCCAAAGGAGACATTGTGCTCTAGGTGGGAGAAAACCTGGCATAAGCACTGGAAGAAATTCAGATTACGAAACTTATTTCTGTGGCTGCTGAACAGGCAGGGGTGCAAAGGGACTGAAGGGAGAAACGTTTTGTGGGTAGGTTGCCCGTACACAGGTCTGCAGTGCTGGCTCAGGCAGGTCAGCTCTCACCTCTCCGATGTCCTTACTGAAGCATGGTGCACACCAGTCACGCATGGATCCTGGAGGTTGCCTTGTGTCTCCTGTGTGGATCGGGCCGTGATGGAGGCTGCCACTGGGGCTCCTCCAAGGATGTCTTCTGTCCCCTGACTTGGTGCACCAGTCCCTGTTGTTGGGTAGGTCACAGAGCAGCCCATGGTGCAACTTCTGGTGCTGGCCTAGCTGTGGCAGAGCGCGAGGTGGGAAAGGCCTTGTGTTCACAGACAAGACTTGGAATCAAAATTTACTTGAGGGGAAATCCTGGCTGCACTGAAGCCGGTTAGCGGGGTTTCTACTGAGTTCAGGGGGCCTGTTCTTCAGCTCAGTGTGATGGGGCTGTCAGCAAGCCTGCTACCTTGGGGACACCCTGCCATTGAGCTAGGCCCTGGCTGATGCTAGCTTGCTTTCCCTGCGTAACTCCAGCCTTGCTGCCCAGCACCTAGCTGCATGCACGGCACTGAGAAACCCTCGCTTTGCTTATGTTTCATTGCAGAGGTCGTTTTTAATTCTGGCTCTCAAGAACGCCCAGTGCCGGTAAGAACTGTTGGCTGATCTGTGGTTTAGGCTTTGCGCTCTAAAACTTCCCTTCCCCAGGCCTCTCTCTGAGATGAGCTGTAGTAAATTCATTGGTATCGCGGAGACTCCGGCTGCCTGCAAGGCCTGCAGTCGGTGTCTTCCGTCTTCAGGGCAACTGGGAGCAAATTTTCCCATCATTGAGGGACACTAGCTTAAACTTGTATCACTTTCAAATGAAAGCTGGGTAGTTGTTTGCTCGTGACTGTACAGCCCTATGCAGGGAAGCTGGGTTTAACTGATGTGATTCCCTGCGGATCTCCTGCAGTAATGTGATAGGCCAAAGTGAGCTGTCATGAGATACCCTCCACAGCGGGTCTGAACTGAAAACTCTTCATTGCTGTTTGAATCACCCATGGTAGCTGAGTTTGGGCCCAGGAATGCTATATCCTGAGGGATGGGCTGTCTAAGTTAATTTGCCCTTTATGCTTATATTGTGCCCATCGTACAAGAGTTTCTAATGGCTTTTTAGGCATGCGGCAGGGAGCAGGAAGGAAACGAGTGCTGGATGTCTTTCTCCTTCCTCTTGCCGTGTCCCTGGCGAAAGGATGCGAGTTTCCCAGTGCGATAATTTTACAGTCCCTTTCACAATCCACCAAGCATGTAATGAACAAGGCTGATACCAAACCGCCACCAGCTGATTCAGCGTTGCAACCTCACTGTGGCTGTAAGGGGCCGTTGTGCTGTGAGATACCATTCCTCAGCCTGTCTGGAGTCTCACACCAATACTCAATGCTTGTCTGTGCCTGGCTCCTCGGATCCAGTGTGAGCCCTCAGATACAGCTACTCCAGCACACCTGAGACGAGGGCACTGGCTCAGTGCTGGGGTTGGTGTCAGAGCGGGAGAAACCCCAGATCCCTTGCGTGCTCCTCTAATCCGTAGGCTTCATCTACAGCACTTTCCCAATGAGGTTTCCTTACCCTTAGCCTCTTGTTAATCCCTTCAGTGTGTGGTGGTGTGACAGCAGTAAGGTGTCACCATGCACATGCATAGCAGTGTCACTGTTCACCTTCTCCCTCTCTCCTTAAGGGCGTTCCTGGGGATGGATGTCCTTCTGCCTCAAAGACTCTGCCCGCTCCCGCCGCACGCAGAGACATTTGTGCTCCCTTTCCTGAACTGAAGCATCTCAGCTTGGCCTTCAACAAGGTGATTGGAGCCCTCTGACTTTGGCTAGAGGTGAAGACCTGGGTTTAGTGCTGCTGGAGACACACCCAGGCCTCTAGCTGCCACTGCAGAAGGGCACAGGTCTCCTCTGGCTCTGAGTCAATCTGCCAGCCTATGGAGACATCTCAGACATCCAAGGTCTTTCAGATGGGGCTGAACACCTGTTTAGGCAGCTGAATTGTACTCAGATTGTCTAAATCCCTGCACATTAGGGATTTTAGCAGAGAAAGGGCTGTATGAAGGACTGTCCTCCCCTTGGGACTGATCATTTGTTGGAGCTGCCTTGGGGAAGGTGATGTCCCATTGAGACCTTTGTTTTGTTAGTACCAGGTTGCCACCCATCTGTTGAGCCACGCTGTGCTCTTAGTGTGCCCCAAGGGGCAAGTAAAATGCATTCATTTAATTTCCCCTTTGTGGTGGTTTCGGCTTCTTCCCAGGGCTTAACTCATGGTGAGGGAGCATCCCTGTGACATGATGGTGGGGCTGTACTCAAAGCTGCGAAGCAAACTCTGCCTCTGATCCCCGTGTGTCATAACCCTGTTTTAGACTGAGCGCTCACCGCCTTGCTGGTGAGCTGGTTTCTGGCTGCCGTGCCCTGGCCAGGCTGTGGTTTGGCTCCCCAGGTGGGGAGGCCAAACTCTTTTTTCGGCATTACTAGCATGATGTGCTCTGCCTGCCTCCTCCACGGAGCCTGGGCTGTGCAGCTGTGGGAGCAGGAGCTGCTGCGGCTCTTCTGAGTGCTGGAGGCTCCAGTTCTCCATCCGCGAGGTGCACGGGGGAGAAGGAAACGCGGTCTCTGCCCTCTGTCCTTGCAGGCAGTGGAGCTGCTGGGGGCAAGCAATGCCATCTCCTTCCTCCTCCCCACTGCAATTAGCCTGGCTTCTGGGGATCCCCATGCGTTGGAGGGATGGGGGTTGGAGGGAGGATTGGCCTGAGCCCATGGCTGCTGCCGTGTGTCGGCAGAGCCTGGCTGTTGCTGACACATGTTCCTGAGGAGCAGGCTCTGAAATCTCTGTTTCGTGGTGCTGTGCTGAGAGCGCGCAGGACTCCCCTTGTCAGCGTGGCTGCCTGGCTCCCAGGAGAGGAATGTCCAGGCTGGACTATGGGTCCATAGCAAGGATGGGACAGTGTGGCCCAGCCCAGCGTTTGCTCAAGAGGGATGTGGGAGAGGTGGGACAGTGTCTTGTGGCTCCAAGTGTCCCTGCAGATCCTCAGAGGTCATCTCTAGGGATCCCAGGCCCCTCTGGGCTGTTGTCCCTCTTGAGATGAAACCCTACAGCCACCAATGGGACTGAGCGGCAGCAGTAAATTCTTTTGTCTTGCAGATTGAAGAGGAGACAGATCTCTTACCTGTGGCTTTCTTCCCGTGTCTGAAGGAGCTGACGTTTCACAGCAACCCTCTTACCACCACCCGGAGCGGTAGGGTATGAGCCTGATTCTGCGCGATACTCCTGCTCTGTTCCTGGGCTTCCTTTGCTGTTAGGGACTGCCTTTCCCTTCTGCGTTTGGATGCTCCTGCCATGCTGGCCCTGGCCCAGCACCCCAAGGAGGAGGGGTGCTATAAGTCATCTCTGCTCTCTAAAGAGCATGCAGATGAATACTGCTCTTGCAAACGCTGTTAATGCTCTGCTCCTGCTCCCGTTCCTATCAAAGCCTGTCACAGTCCATCTGTGCCTATGGCAATGCAAGGCTGAGGCTGAATTTTGCTCCCCAAATTATGTTCACCCCATAAGGTGAACACCATTCAGAGCTGGTCTGAAGCTGGTCCAGCTCCTGTTGGTGGTGAGCACTGCTGTGGTGCGGGAGCTGCTGGTTTCCTCCTGAAGCCCAAAAGCAGTCCCTTTCTGACCGAAGGGACAAATCCCAAGCGTGGCCGTGGCCTCACGAGGCAGCAGGTGAAGATAGCTAGGGCTGCTGGCAAAAAACTGCGGTTGTGCCCTACACAGGCTATGTGTAGACTAGTAAATAAAACAGGCCAGAGCTTCTTCTCTGGCCTTGATGGCAAGTAGCCCAGTCTGGTTTGTGTCCCTAAGGCTAAGGTCTTGTCCTCACAAAACAGGGTGGCTTTTTTTTACTCTGCCCACTGGGCAGAGCCGTTCCTGAGCTGTGCCTGAGGATAGCTGGCACAGGCCAAAATCATGCCAGAGAGCACACGGACAGTGAAGGAAGGGGTCTGGATGATCGTGGATGAGCCCTGGCACCCCATCCCGGCCCTGGCTAGACCCCAGCGTGGGCAGAACCATGACGAGCAGCTCGGTTAGCAGTGTTGGCTCTTGCTGGCACAGCAACTGCTTGGGTTTGGGGCTGCCCAAGGCCCTACCCCAAATCAGGGCTCATTGCCCCTGGCAGTTGTGGGCCATCTCCCATGTCAGAGGGGCTCAGGGCTCCTTTGAGGGGGAGAGGCCCTTGGAGCTGAGACTCAGCACTGTTGAATTCCTCGACTCCAGATGTTCAAATGAAATCCTCTGGAAATGAACTAGACCAAGGTGAAGTGTTGATCTCTTGTTTCCCCTCTCTGGTGCCTGTTGTCAAGGTGCCCAGGGACACTTGTCACCACCCTGGGGACTGCACGTGCTTGCCGTGAGCTGTCTGGGAGCACACCGGGCTGTGCAGCACTTGTGAACCCCTGCTCTTCCAGGGCAACCGCCTCTGCTGACGAGGCTCCTCCAGGAAAATTTGGGGATTAAACTTGTTCGCCAGAGCGTAGCAGTGGAGAGACTGCACCTCTCCATGCCTCTCAAGGCCAGCCGCAAGGTAAGGAAGGATGCGCCTTGCTCAGGAGTGCAAGGCTTTCCCTGGCCAAGGCAGGGGCAAAAAATCTGACCACACTATTCAGGGCAGGATTAGGGGACACATAAAGAGCTTGCAGGACCCCAGATCCTAGCAGGGTTGGTAGGATGAGGGGAAGGAAGGGTGGGAAAGGTTTGGAGGCCTTTGATCTCATGCTCAGGATGAGGCCAGGGAGTCCAGATCCTCCAACTCATCCCCTCTCAGTGCAGCCCCAGGCAGGGTTGTAATCGTGGCAGAGGGTCTTTGGGTTCAGTGCTGCATGTTGGCCTTGACCGAGGTGTTCCTGCGGGCCTGAAACTGCTGCCAGGGTGTCCCTGGAGCTGGGGCTGCTGTGGTGCTCTGGTAAGGAGTAACCTCCAGCTGCTCTTTTCGACCCTGAGCTGATACTCGCAGTAGAGCATGTGGCTGTTGCTGGGGGTGACAGGGCTTTGGGGGGCTGGAAATGACCTGCCCACAGCTAAGCTGAGGGATTGGGTAGTCTCCCCCTTCATGCAGAATGCGTACAGTCATCCCTTCTGTCCCCCCAGGTCTCGTCCCATCTCCCGAAGGTTACGAAGCAGCCCCTGATGCTGGAAGCTCCAGCTGAGACCTTTCTGTGGAAACCCAGGAGAGACGCTGCGGCTCTGAGTCTCTCCGAGCCTCTGCCCCCAATCAGACCATCTGGGGAGCAGAGAGAGGGGCCGTGCGAGGGGCTGGAGGAGCCCAGGAAACCCCCCTGCCACTCCGCTCTGCCTGTCCCCCTTCTCCCGTGCAGCTCTGCTTCGGCAGCGTGGGTCAGGGAAGCTTGTGCCGACATCGACTCTGCCGGCGGCAGCGGCAGGGGGGGCCCGGGGGGGCGGGGGACGGGGAATGTGTCTCTGGGCCTCACCCTGACGGAGCCGAAGAGGCCGTTGGATCCTTCTTCATGACTCAGGTGTGTGAGGCTGGGCTTTCAGTTGGCCTCTGCGGGAGGCCGGTGAGTGTCCAGGACTCTAAGGCTCCTCCAGAAATGCTCTGTAGGCAGGATCTTCACTTCCTAATGCACAAAAAGTTGCACGCACCGTGGACTCCAGTAGTTGCAACCCTCCTTTGATTGCACAGCAGGAAGCATAAATGCAATGTTTTGAGTGGGAACAAGAACTTCTGGCCAGATTTCCCTGGCTGGTGCTCGGGGGTTAGTGTGATGTCTCTGCCTGGAGTTGCCTGGGCAGAGACTGCCCTTCGATAAGCACAGTATGTGTTGTGGGAGTGTCGGAGGTTGGCAGCAGGGTCTGGGCCCCTGGGACATGGCCTGTTTGTGTTGGGTGCTTGGCGTCAGCCAGCGAAACCAGTGAATCCCAGTCTGTGCTGGCTTGGTGGGTAGCTCCAGGCACAGGAGCTCTTGGTCTAGCATCATTCCTGTAGCATCTGCTGGGAATCTCCCCGTTAGAGGTCACCAGGGCAGCTTTTGGACTTGATTTCCCTAAAGTAGAGCCCTAAAGCACATCTTGGGGGTGTGTGTGAGAGACCATACTAAGGACATGGTGGGAGCCCAAGGCAGGCGCAGGATCCCCACAGCGTGGTCGGGTCTTGTCTCCCTCTGCAATCTGCAGCAAGCTCCTGGCATGGGTTTTTGGCTTGGTCTGCACCAGGACGGGGCCAGTCCCTCTCCAGCCTGTGCTCGGCCCCCCTGAGCACAGCTGGGATGAGGTAGTGGCTGGATGGCTTTATGCCACCAGGAGACACCTCTGGCCACAACAGAACAGGCCCCAGCCTGACATGGTGGGACCGTCATGAGGTGAGAGCTAAGACACCCTGTTGTGTTCAGTCCCAGCCCCATACCCAACATGGGCTGGTGGGTGAAAAATGGTGATAAATACAGCCTCCCGCAGAGCGGATCCGGTCAGCCTGGCACCTGCCTCAGCACCTGGAGGCACTTTCTGATCGTTGGTTAGTGAGAACGCAGTGCCACGAGGTGGTGGAGAGTTTTAGGCCATGTGGAGTGAAGCAGTAACTCAAGAGCCTTCGCTGGTGTGGCTGATGGCCAGCTTTGGCTGTACAAGGTTCCTCTGGAGAAGGTATTCATGATCAACTTGACTGGAAAGAAACAACTGCTGTGACTCCTTGATTTTGCTGCTTTGAGGTGGAGGATGTGCCCAGGCCCCCTCTGCAACCTGTGGCAGAGGACAGGCTGGAGAGGACGAGGAGCGAGCAGAGGGAAGAAGGAAGCTCCCTGGCTGTTTCAGGGCGATACAGAGGTTACGAGGAGCTGCTCGGCGGAGACACGGACCCAGATTTCATCGAGCCAGTTGGTAAGCAAGGAAAGGAGCGGGCTGTGCTTAGAAATGCCTTGACGGGTTGATGACCAGCATGGTCCTCTCTGACCTCAAGGCTCCCCGGTGCCTTGCGGGGTATGAGGCTGTCCACCAGCAGGCATTCTGCCCCAGGGTCAGCGCAGCTCCGTTGAGGTGCTGAGCCCTGCCTCAAATAAGGCTGCACTTTGGGGCGCAGGGAGCTTTGCTGCACACTGTGATCACAGCGCCCTGCTTGGGCCGCAGTGGCTGATCTCTCGCCGGACAAGGTGACGTGGCAAAGCTCGCTGCAGTCACTGCAGTGACTGATGGGGAGATGCAGTGAAGAGGGAAACGTTTCCGTTGTCCCGTTTGGTTCCCAGGGATACAGAAGAACGTCCAGGCACTAAACTACCTCCTGAAACACCCCTTGGTTTATCGGGACTCCAAGGCGCGACTGGACAGTGTGCAGAAACCCTACGTGCCTTGGAAAAAGGTGAAGAGCCAAAGCTCTGAAGGGAGAACGGTCATTTCTGCAGCGTCGGTATCTGGAGGTGGATCAACCCACGTGTCTGGGGGTTGATCTCAGAACTTAAACATGGGCTCAACTCAAGTTCCCAATTCCAGTACCTCCCTCCTCTCCCCGGCTCTCTGCTCCATCTTATTCCAGCCCTTCAAGGCCAGGCTTCTCCCGGCATCCCAGGGTGGCTGCTGTCATGCAGGCACGGTCCCACCTGCCGGCTGGTTGAGCCATCAGGGAGGCAGGGTGCTGTGTTTGCAGCTCCATCAGCTTCAGGTCTCCTCCCAGGGCTCATGGCGGGCTCCCCCTCGCCAGCTCCGCTCTTGGCTCACTCGTGGTTTGGTGCATGCAGCCCAAACGGGACCCAGATAGCACTGATGGAGGCAGCTCAGCCCACTGAGCCAGCAACCCTGCAAGGGGGAACCGCTTGTCACCAGCCCACCTAAAAAAAGCCAGCCTGGTCGCAAGTGAGGTAGGGAAACAGCCTTGGAGCAGAGCCAGACCACCGGGTGATACTGCCTTTAGCTTCCAAAGGCAGCTGAGGTAGGTGGCTGTGAAGTGGACTGTAGTAGGATTACAGTGGCTGAATCCCCAGCGCTGCTCTGGGGTTGCTGAATGCTGATCCACTGTTGCTCAGTACAGGTATAACCTTAGCTCAGCAACTCAAACGACATCCACTTCGGTCCATAAAAAGCCACTGTCTCACCTGCCTCCTGCAGAAGCGTGGGACTACACTGGTGTGGGAGAGTGGGCAGGAAGAGGAGGTGGTGGATTAGCACGCCAGAGGGTGGAGAGAGGCACGTTGCAGCCTCCTGGTCTTTCTTGCAGTCTGGGAAGATGCCTGGCCTGCCGGCCCGAAAGACAAAAGCAGAGGTACTAGAAGGGATCCTGATGGCCATGCGAAATACCACAACCATCACTGAAGTCCCCCTAGGTATGTTCCCTGCGTTTCCAGTCTCTCCCATTCACACCAATGCAGAGGCAGGGGCAGGCACTGGCAGCAGCTGAACAGAAAGGTGCCACTGAGCTGGCTGAGCCCTGGGATGAGGGCAAGAGTTGGGAATTGAGGTTCTCCCTATTGTGGCAGTGTCCCTGGCCTGCCTCACCCTGAGGAGAGGACAAGGGCTTCAGCCTGCTGAGCACCCTCAGCCCACCACGAAGTCAGCCCCTGCTCCCCCCGAGCTCTGGCTGCTGGTTAATGGAGAAGTAAACGCAAAGCAGATGCTGCCGAGGTGTCTCCTTCCTTGCTCTGTAGGGATCCACAGCTGGATTATCCCTACCCTGAACCCAGCTGCTGGGAAAACAGTAAAAGATTGGTTTTGCCCCAGAGCTGAAGCAAGACTTAGGTCTCCAAGTGCGCGCCATGGTTTTCTCTATCCTGCCCTAGGGGCAGT